GGGAACGAGATGGTGGAGATCGGATCGCCAGGGCTCCCTCTGGGAACCCGGAGGTCTCTGGGCTGCCTTCTCCCACTTCTGATGGGCGTGACCCTTCGTGTCTGCATCCCACGGGATTTGCAGCAGGTACAGGCCTAGGGAATCCCACGCGGGATGTTCTTGGGTGCACAGGCCAGGGTGGCCTGGAATGAAAGCCCCAAGATTGGAGAGGATGGGAAGAAAGTAGAATGTGAAATCAACCAGGGTTCTCCACAAAAGAAAGAAGTTGAATGGATTTATAAGGAAAAATAATTTTCCTTTGATGTATTGTTTTTTAGCATGGTTAAAAAAATCCAGAGAACTCACCCCAAAGGGTCAGAAGGAAAACAGAAACAGTATTACGCACACGCACACACCCCCCCCCCTTTTTTTCCTCTTGCTCTTTTCTGTGGGCGCAACAGCTCAAATGTTGTAGCATCTCTAGGGACAGTGGTGATTCCTTTTCTGTGCTGTATTTGGTGGATTTGAAAATTTAAATATAAAGCAAGCTAATCTTAGTATATGAAATAAGCCAGGTGGCCTCCCTTCTGATTTTGCTGTCCTAGGCTCTTTAGAAATAAAAGGAAATATTTTAGAACTGCATCGTACGTTGGAGCCTATGTTAGCAGCGTTTCTGGATGTTGTGTGGAAAATTTGTTTACGCGAAGGATTTGGCAAGGCTGAGTCACGTGTTTACTTGATAATTTCAGGGTCCTCTGCCAGTTAAACTTGTAAGAGTCAAGGGGTGGGTAGAACTGGTTTTCTACCAAGATCGTATCAACTTAAGAACAAAGAACACCTTTGCCACTTTATGAAAGGTAGCATGTATATGAGGTATATTTAATACCACTCCTAAGCGATTTATGATTTATTTCAGCAAAATTCCTTGTGAGCACAATTACAATGAGCTGTATTTTTCCTTTAATTTTAATTTTCAAATGAGAAATCTGACCCTGACAAAATTAACTGATTATAATAAAACCATATTAAAGAACATGAGTAACCTTTAACAATTTTATCCAAAACCCCTAAAGACAATTTCCTTTCAGTAAATATGAGCACATTTCAAATACTTAAATTAACTTAGATGTCGTATAAAACTTAACAGCTAAAAACAGAGAAAGTAATACTAGAAAGTGTGGAAGTGTATGTGTCATTTATTTAAGTTTTTGAGTTTCTCTTCCCACTAAAGACACCCAGGTCTACAGCCTGACTCTTTATTAAGCTAAAAGCTGCCAAGTTCTCTCTGCCTCCAGGGACTGAATTTGATGACTTTTATCTAGATTCTGTTACCCAAGTTTTTGTTTTTACTTTTATTTTATTTATTTTATTTTATCTTTTTTGGTGGAACTGAGGATTGAACTCAGGCCCTTGCGCTTGCTAGGCAAATGCTTATTCTTCTGAGCCATGACCCCAGCCCTTTACTTTTAAATAACTCTGGAATAGGAGAACATCTCCCTTCTCAATAAAGAAGTTTCCTTCAAGTCTTCCTATGTCTACTGATTAAGCTGAGTTTGTTCATCATTGACTGTGTCTTTGAGTTTGATAATTCAAGAAAAAAGGTATAAATTGGCCCAGGCTCCCCTTACATAAGACCACATAAAAATGATGCAATGTGATGTTTGTAAGAGATGTGGTTGTTTATTCCAGACAGCAAGCAGAGAAAGAAGTCCGTTCTGTAGAGTCCCCAAATTAAAAGAATTTGGCGGTGCTCCTTTATGGAATATACTTATTATGAGCTGAATTCTTTAGGTAATATTTAATTTCTTGTAAATAATATCTATGTATTTTTTGTCATTTGGAACAGTGTCTCAATTATCCAATGAAAAGCAGGAGGTTTTTTTTTATCTGAAAACTTATCTTCAGATGTGACATATCCTTTTAAAAGGCAGGCAGCGTTTTGTAAACTTCACAGTGCTTAAAATATGAGCTTTGGGATTTCTAGTGCAGCCACTTAATTTTTTAAGATGCTGAAGCCTCTATTTAGTGTGAGTTTGGTGAATTCCCCGTATGTACGTTTTTGGTGTTACAGAACTGTGGCCGCTCTCCAGGCTGGAAGTGGCTTCAGTGCTCCCAGCAGGCCTCCGAGAGTGTCTTACAGTCCTTCCTGACTTCCTGTAAAATGAGTGATTCACTACCTGTTGCTAAAGGACAGCTTGAACTTCACTGACAGTCTTGGTTTGTGATGATGGAGACCAGAACCAATTGGCGGGGAGGGGGGGCAGGACCGCACCTGTCCCCATCTGTCTGCTGAGAACAATCAGGGGTAGCCTGGGAAGAGACAAAGACATTTTTAAAAGACTCCCTCTCCTGCATTATTGAAGTGTTGAGTAGTTGCACATACAAATGTTGTATGGTACCAACATAAATACTTTATGTATATTCCATCATTGATAATTCCTCAGTTTAATAATCTGGCACATATGGCTATATATTAAGAATAGTTTTTACTAATATTAAAATTGGGTAAGAGGTTATATAAATTTGCAAGCATTAATCATTTAGCTGTATAAAATAGCCATCATTGGAGCTCTGAATCAAAGACTTAAGACACCTTCGACTGAAAAGGAAGAACTGTGAGTAAAACTCACAAGAAAATTGTATGTTTCTTAATCTACTCATCAAATATCTGGACAAAGATCATGAGGATTGAAGCTCTTAACTTTAAAAAAATATTTTAATGAAACTACATTTAATAATACAGTAGGTATGCTTGGTACTGTAGGGTTACAGAATACAGACATAAGTCTGAAGGTTCCAGTCCTGTCAGCTTTGCCTCGTCCTGCTTTTAATTGCTGGGACCAAACCTTAAATCTTTTGCTGATATAAAGGGATGTGAATTGTTTGGCATTGGCAGTGGTGCCATTGTGCCCTTGCGTTTCATGTTGTTGAAATGCTGTCTCTCAGCTGCTGACGCTCATTAGAAACACTGCCTTTTGATGTTGGTGTGGGTGCCAAATGGCGCCTTCTGGGAAGTTTTAATACATTACACTTCCAGTGCTCTGAGGCCAGGTGTACATGGGGCCACTGAGTCAACGGAATTTC